TAAACAACCAGACCTCTGACATGGTTATTCCTGGCTGTGCAGCATCAATATCACTATCATGATCAAACAGAGACCACTCAACCAAACATTTCACCCACCAAAACAGAAACACAAAGCTAAAACATGGGAAATTAGTATTAGACATTAATATTGGCCCAGTTTTACATATCGGACCGATACAGATATTCTAAAAAATGACCATCATCAGCTGATCCTGATGTTAGAGCAGAAATATTGTTCTTTGTAGGCACTGAGGTCTTTTCAGCCCAGTGTGATGCAGATCAGCTCTTCACTGAGGTCATTGGAGGAGCTCAGGTAGCTCTGGGCCTGGTTCACAAGTGAAAGAAGAAAAATATTTTACTCCACGGTTGTCATGAATGCCTTTGAGACCCTCTATAAACTCAGGGAGGTAGTCTGGGGATCTTTGAGACGAGGCAGAAGGAATGAGCTGATGGTCGTTGGTTCTGGTGTCACTACAGTTAATGACACTCAGCCATCAGTCTGCCTGAAGCCTGAAGTCTRACATGATTTCCACTAAGACAAAAAAAGTGTTCAGTGAGCTGCTTCTTTCAACCTTGCTTGTCTTTTCCTGCAGTTATGGTGGAATGTTGTCAGCTTACATGAGACTCAGGTATCCAAACATTGTAGCTGGAGCTCTGGCAGCCAGCGCCCCTGTCCTGTCTACTGCTGGGCTTGGAGACTCCAGGCAGTTCTTCCAAGATGTTACAGCTGTGAGTGAGTCTCCTTTTACTGCAAGGATTTATTTAATGGTGATGTCTTAGATCCTGTTTCAAAATACTCTGTCAGATGAGAATATTGTAAATAAAATTAAACAAATATGATCAATAAAAGGAAATACCTCACTCCTTTGTGCTGGAAAACTTTTATTTTTCATCCTCAGGACTTTGAGAAGATTGCTCCTGAATGTAGAGATGCTGTGAGAGGAGCCTTCAGTCAGCTGAAGAAGTTAGCTGAACACAAAGGTAAATGAATGAAACATGTCTTTTTGCCTCAGATTGTGAAATTATATCAAGGATTATTAATTTATTATTTAAATGTGAATTGTGACCTGCATCAGTTYGTTCTGTCATCTTGAAGATGTTGGAGATAATTTAACTGTGACTCTACTGTTGTTCTGCTGGAGCCCAGATTACAGCCGTATCCAGTCAGAATTTGCTCTTTGTAAGCCTCCATCCTCTGAACGGGATATCCACCAACTTAATGGCCTGCTGAGGAACGCCTTCACTCTGATGGCCATGCTCGACTACCCTTACAGCACACACTTCATGGGCAACATGCCCGCCAACCCCGTCAAGGTAGACCACTGGATTCTTCTCTTACAAATAGCAAATACTGTTCAATAACATTAAAATAAACATTTATTAGTAAAACCTGCAGTTTCTGACCAGGTGGTGCTACAGATATGAATCTCAGAACTGGTTCCTGTTAGAGGTGAAACAAGAGGACTAACATGGTGTGGTACATACCTCAGTATCAGGCTGGGTACAACAGTAACAATATACACTGCCCGGACAAAAAACAAGTGTCTACATGGATGGAAGGTCTATGATGTGTGGTTGCTGCAGGTGGTCAGGTCTATGTTCAGCAACAGT